AGAAGCAGACCCCCCACTGAGCAGGGAGCCCGATATGGGACTCGATCCCGGGACTCCAGGATCATAACCTGAGCTGAAGGCAGTTGCTTAACCAATTGAGCACCCCAGGCGCCCTCTAATTAAAATTTAAAAAGAAGAGATCATGACATAGACTGAAACGCACATGTTAGAGAACTGGTTGGAGAAAGAGCAGAGCAGGCAGAAGGGAACAAACATCAATTACAGTGGAACAGAAAAAGTGGTTATAAATAAAAGTAATCATGAAACTCAGAAGAATAAAATGGGAATTGATAGATATATATGTATATATATAATAAATATAAAATTCATTTATAATGTGAGTTAGGTAAATTTTAATTTTTAATATAGGTTATAGTTAAAATTTTGCCACAACTATCTCACAATATTGTGAGGCTCAAATACAAGTTGTGAAAGTGCTACATAAACTATAAAATGCTATACTCACGTAAGACAAACAATATTTACTCAAAATGCAAATGAAACCTCTCATTCCAACTCAGGGAGAAGGCAAGCAATGAGCTCTCTGGGACACAGAGGGTGAAAATGTCACTCTGATCCATTCTCAGATTTTCTTGGAATCACAGGCTCTATATATTCACTCTATGGGCTGGCTCTGAATGCAGAGCAAAGATAATATAATTCAGACTAATGGACCTGGGGGCAATGTTACAGACGAAATGTATGGAGAAAAATCCTTCTTAATTTGTGGAAGAAAGATATTCCCTTCCTGCTTCTTAACGTTCATAAACCTTTTTGCCTGCACAAACGTCATATTTAATTATGCTGATTTCTCCTCTTTAAGGAAGGAATGAGAGGGGCAGGAGAGGTGATAAAAATTCACTAAAACATGCCAAAACACATAACATTCTATGCCCAAAACTAACTCCTAGGATAGAGAAGTAAGTCTACAATGCACCAAATGAACTGAAGCTTACTGATGCTAAATGACTTATATAAGGCCACTTATTCACCACCAAATCAGTATTTCTGGGTCTGAGTCATATCAAAGCTCTGGCATGTTCTACAACACAGCCTTCCATAAAAAAAAAAAGAAGAAGCTAGAAAGATAAGGAGGTAAGCAGAACTAACCCATATTTTTAGCTTTCTTTTTTTAAGCTCTAACATTAGATTTTAGAAATATTTTGACATTCTGTAAAATTTCCATTATAATTTTAAAGTTAAACACCAGTTCCACATTCTCTGATCATTAACTCTCAATGCATTTTCATTACATTAGAAGCGCATGCAATAGTTAATCATGGTAAGATTTCCTAAAATTTTCAAGAAAGAGCACAAAATCATTAAATACAGAGTTAAAAGACCTTAGAAACAATCTATTCAAACCACCTCATTTTATAAATAAGGAAATTAAGGCTCAGATAGGTTAAGTGACTTACTCAGGGTCACACAACTTGACAGTTCCAGAGTCAAGATCATAATTTAAATCTCCAAACTTACAGCCCAGGGCGTTGTTGTTTTTCAAACCTATAAGGAATGACTGAATTTATTATTTATTTATTTTTTTTTTTGGAATGACTGAATTTAAACATTTAGTCCAGAATAGCCTAAAAATTGAGTGTAATTCATAAGAATAAGCCACGTGGCAAGGAATTAATAGTTCATACCAAAAATGAGCTGCCAGTCACTGTGATAAGATCTGTTTCTTTCTGAGAACCATGGTTTCCTGCTGGATTGGAGAATCCAAACTGGGTTTCTTCCTCCTGTCCGAAGAAGTCAGAGTCAGGATGTACATTCCATTCTGCTTTGGTTGGCGGCAGTAGTTCTGAGACACTGTTTTCACAAAGGGTGCTTGAAGGAGTCAGAGCATCTGTGTCCACTGTTAGCTTACTGCTGGGGGTCAAAGCTTGGGGCTCTTGACTTGAGTTTTTCATAGCCAAAGAGCCCAGAGATGCCAATGGCCCCACACTTAGACTTGGGACATCATCCATATCTAAGGGACTCTGCTGAAAACCAGAGGCTGTCGTTCCAAAAAAGAGAGAGGTATCCAGACTTTGAGGAAGGTCACTGGTGGCCATCAAGGCCCGAGGGTCCACAGCCTGCCCTAAGGAATTATTACTATTAGCAGGGAGGCTCCCTGCCAGAGTTGAACTCACAGAAGCCACATCAATAGTCAAGATTCCAGAGTTCACCAATGCTGTGTCCAGCACTGCAGCAGAACTACTGCCAGGCACATCCGAGAAGAGAGACACTAGCTCTGCATCACTGAGATCACTCTGTCCCTGGCTGGTAAGTTCACTGCTGGGCGTAAGAGAATTCGCAGCTTCTAGCTGAGCTAAGAGATCCTGGCCGAGGTTGTGCCTTTTGGTCATGTGGGTCTTCATGCTGTGCTTGGATGTGAAGAGTTTATTACAAGTAGAGACTGGGCAACGGCTTTTCCAAGTGTCCACGTCCTGTAAGTGTTTCTTGGAGTGAATGTAGAGACTACTGCGAGCAGAGAACCTGGCACAGCAGCCTTCCACAGGGCACACAAAAGGCTTTGTGCCCAGGTGGGTTATGCTGTGGCCTTTCAGATGCTCAGCCCTTGTGAAAGATTTCCCACAGCCTTCCACAGGGCACATGAACCTCCGGTCATCCTCGTGCTTCCTTTTGTGCCTTAAGAGTTTGGACATGCTGGTGAAGTTCCAGCCACAGCCATCAAAGTCACAAAGGAAAGGTCTCTCACCGGTGTGGCTCCGCAGGTGAATTTTCAGGCGACAAGCCTTGTCGTACTGTTTGCTGCAGCCAGGAAAAGAGCAGGAAAAGAGTTCCTGTTCCCTGAAATGGGCACGGTTATGGGAAAACAGGGCACTCACTGTGATAAACGTCTTCTTGCAGCCAGAAAACGCGCACTGGTATGGCCTCTCCGGCTCGAAATGGCTGCGCTGGTGGGCGCTGAGTTTGGCCTGAGTGGGGAAGCTCTCCTCGCACACCTCGCATTTGAACGAGTTCTCCTGCTCATGGCCCTTCATGTGCGCCTTGAGGTTATACACCGTGGTGAAGCTCTTGCCACAGCCCTCCGCAGGGCAGCCAAAGGGCCGCAGTTTGTCGTGCGACTGCAGGTGCCTCTTGAGCTTGTAGGAGGTGGTGAAAGTCCAGCCACAGCCGCCCAGGGGGCACTTGAAGGGCCGCTGGCCCTGGCTGCTGCTGTGAGTCAGCAGGTGCACTTTCAGCTGGTGCTTCTTGGCGAAGGTTTGTCCGCACTGCGCCTCGGGACACAGGTACAGCACCACGCCCGGGCCTGGGCCCAGCGGCCTGCGGGGACTATCGGCTGCGGCTCGGCCCTCTGCCTCCTCCTCAGGCGCGGGGGCGGGCGCCGGTTCAGCCGGCTCGGCCAGCAGGAGGTCGGGCGGCAGCTCGGGGCAGTCGCTGGGCTGCGCGGCGTGCGGGACCCCCGCTTGCGGAGCCATCAGACCCCCAGGCTGAGGGGCAGGCGCGACCCCAGGCTCCCAGGCCGGCGGTGGGGGCGTGGCCAGGGTGAGGACACCGTTCTCGAAGCGCAACAGCAGGTTTTGGTTGTGGATGGTGACGGTGCCCGTGAAGGCCGCGGCGGGTCCCAGGCCTGGGGCGGGGATCGGGTTTTCAGCCGGGGATGGGGCGGGGATTGCGGACAGGCAGCGGGGGCCTAGCGCCTGGCGGCCCGCGGGATTCGCGCCATTCTCACCCTGCTGGAGCTGTGGGACCGACTCGGCCTCCTCCCTCCATACAGGCCCTGCGGCCTGGCCGGCGCCCGTGGTCTCCACATCGCCACCCGCCGGGTCCAGCAACACCAGGAAGAAGTCATCGCCGCCGCCGCCGCCGCCGCCGCCTCCGCCAGCGTGATCCGACCTCGGCGCCAACGGGCTCGGGCCCGGGCCCCGTGAGGCCGCTCGGGCCTCCTCGTGCCGCCTCCC